GGAGGAGCAGAGGGAGAAGCAGATTTCCCCCTCAGCAGGGAGCCCGATGCGGGACTTGATCCCAGGACTCCGGGATCATGACCTGAGCCGAAGGCAGATGCTTAACCGAATGAGCCATCTAGGCGCCCCTGCATTAATAGTTTTCAACTATAAACAAGTATTAGTGATTCAAAGTACATGGATAATAACCTTGGTCAGGCATTACACTTTGGGGAAGACAATGCATCTGTAATCTAAGTGTCTAAATCAGGTTCCAGAGAAATATGCTGAAACAGACCATCTAATTCAGAACTCTGAAACTGCTTAATAAAACTAGAGTACAGGGGCGCCTGGGTGGCACAGTAAGTTAAGACTCTCGGTTTTGGCTCAGGTCATGATCGCGGGGTTATGAGACTGAGCCCAGCATCGGGCTCTGTGCTCAGTGCAGAGTCTGCTTACGACTCTCCCTTTCCCTCTGGCTCCCACCGCCGCATGCGCTCTCTCTCTGTAAAATAATAAATAAAATAAGACATCTTAAAAACAAAACAAAACAAAACAAAACTGGGAGTACAAGAGATTGTAAGACCAGGAATTAGCACTCAGAATCCAATCCATTTGTTCTCAAATGTCTTTCATTTCTGGTTCTCTTTTTGTGCCACTGAAGAACCTCTTTCCACAAGGTCAAGGATAAAAGATTACAAACAGAGGTCTTAACTGTCCCCAAAGAGATCATTTGGAAAATAAGCAGAAGAAAAAATATTAACTACACATAGCAAATATGAGAGTAAATTACATCTAGGTATTTCCTTTAAGTTCTCAGAAGGCAGTAATGTAATTCTTTACCATGACCACAGCCTTTCTGCAGGCTGATTACCACATATGAAGTTCTTTATTAAGCCTTCCTTTTATTCCACACTCTCTAGTACACCTTACACAGCAGCATGAATTCTCCTCTGGAGCAAAGTTTAGTTATTGTTCCCTTAGTAACTGCATTCCCAAAAAGCACCAGATGTCTTCAAATCAAACTAAAACTACCTCAGCACAGGATTCAGGGCTTCCTAAATCCCTGGCCCGGCCCACCCTAGCTTCACCATCCTGTTCTCTGTGCACAGTGAAATCACATTTCCTATCCCAGTCAAGACAGCCCACTCTTTATAGACTCTAACCACTGTACAAAATCATTCTCTGCCTTGCCTCTTTTCAGTAATACCTTCATCAAAAAATGTTTTTCTCTTTAAAAAACAATGAACATTAAAGGCACAGGCAACAAAAGAAAATATAAGTTGACGTCATTAAAATTAAACACTTTTGTGCAACAAAGGACACTATCTAATAGCATGAAAAGACAACCCACAGAATGGAAGAGAATATTTGCGATTCTTTTATCGGGCAAGGGATTAATACCCAGAATGCATAAAGAACTCCTAGAACTCAAGAACAACCAAAAACAAACAACTCAATTTAAAACTAGACAAAACACAAACACTTCCACAAAGAAGGTGTACATCTGGTGAATAAGCACATGAAAAGATGTTCAGTATCAGAGAAACGCATCATAGGGAAATGATCAAAATTGCAAGGAGATACCACTTCACCCACTAGGATGGCCATTCTCCAAAACAAAGAATAACAATTGTTGGTGAGGACGTGGAGAAACTGGAACCCTTGTGCATTTGCTGATGGGAATGTAATATGGTGCAGTTGCTGCACAGATAATATGGCAATTCTCAAAAAATTAAACATACGATGATCATGATTCAACAATTCTACTTCTGAATATGTACCCCAAAGAACTGAAAACTGGGGCTAGAACAGGTATTTGTGTACCAGTGCATACAGCAGCACCGTTCACAAGTCAAAATGTGGAAACCATCTAAATATCCATTGACTGACGGGTTTAAAAAAATGTGGCATATATATATATATACACACTGGGATATTATCCAGCCTTTAGAAAGAGTGAAATTCTGATACATATAACATGGATAAGCCCTGAAAACATTATGCTAAGTGAAGGAAGTCAGACACAAAAGGACAAACGTTATGAGTAACCTAAGTTGTCAAATTCAGAAACACAGAAAGTAGGATTGTGATAGTAACCAGGGACTAGGAAGACAGAGGGATGGGAATGAGTGTTTTAAGGGTACAGATTCTGTTCGGCATGATGAAAAAGTCCTGGAGATGAATAGGGGCGACAGCTGTACAACATGAATGTAGTTAATGTCATTGAATGGGACACTTGAAAATAGCTAAGATGGTAAATTTTATGTTATATATATTTTAACAAAAAAATGAAGATTAAAATGAAAACTGACTCCATGAAACTTCCTAACATTTAATACAAATATTACTAATTACTATGCTTGACTGGTTTGTCAGTAGGATATAAAATGAGTTTTACTATAAAGTTAGAAAAACTTTTGCAATTAGGCACTTTTTAAAAGATATCTTTAAATACAGTGTTTAAAATCCGACCTATGCAATAAAAATTAAGTAATTTATCAGATAATAAGCAAACTTGAAAAACTCTACTCTGTATTCTTATTCTCACCCTTATTCGTTAATTTCTTCTACTCATCTTCTTTATGTTGTAGTTTCTGTCAACATACAATTTTACCTTTTATCCAAAATAGCTAAAATTTTAAAGTAAACAATTACATAAATGGAGTGATGGTATATAGGATTCCAGTGCTAGCAGCAACTTGAATTACATACACTTTTCAGTATAAACCAAAGGAAAGGGAGGGAGGAGGTATTGCCTTCTAAGTCTAAAACATACATGCATTTCTAGGTCTAACACATAAGACATTTTAACTTGAAAAAAATTAAAAGGGATAGCACAGCATACGTTATAACATAGCAAAGAATTTCACATAATAAATCCATGTTTTATCAAAAGGAACTTTTCCAAGGATCAATCTCAGAGATTCTGATGCTGTATTATCACTAGGAAGACAGACATTGGCTCTTTAGATTTAGTCAACAGCAACGAAAACCAGTATAACTACTTTTAGGAGTAAACGAAATGACATGCATAAATATCAAAGTGAAGCTTAATTTTTTAAATGATCATTAAATAAAAGTGAACAATTGGAACCAAGTAATAAAAATAATACATGGATGAAAGCAACTGACTTCATATAAGCACGGAGGAATCTGGGCATACAAATAACATGAATCAACAAAGTGATGCTGCCATCGTAAAAGAAATCTAGTATTTTATCAGATTAATGCAACTGATCTAAGAGGTAAGATAAATTAGTATTGAACTTCCACATTTTAAGATAGGCCAAAACAAAGAGTCACCATCATTCTAATCTTGCTACCATATCCTAGGGTATAGCATATAAAAACGTAGTGGCTAAATAAAGGTCTTTAAATTAGAATCTGTAAAACTCCAGAGCCAAACATAAACCTGAATTTAAAAGATGTGCCATTGGGTAATTATCTCAGTCATGACTTTTAACCTTAAAATTCTGTGGTTAAATGATGGATACTCCAACTCCTAAAGCAGTATATGTAATCTGAAATCAGATAACTCTTGTATCACAGAGTTTAAGGGAAGTCAAAATACTGAGGCAACAAAGCAAGGAGTCAGGATCTTTCTGGAAGGAAAATGGCAGTTCTTAAAATCTTGAAAGATGGATGTATTAAGATGTAGGTCCACTGAGAAAAAATGGGAGTTAAGATTTTTTAATTGGAAAAGTCAAGGATGAGAATGTGATAAATATGTGAAACACTATGTGAGCCAAGGTCTCCTCACCACCATGTAGAATGTGAGGATTGCCTTGACGTTTCATGAAGTTATCAGAACATCTGCAGAATCCACTGAGCTTTTGAAATGTACTAGAATGTTGTCCTTTTACATGATAAACCACTACGTTTAATTATCTTCTAATGACAAAAATGAAGTGCAGAATAAGAAAATGGTTAACTTCTGCTCATTTAGAACAAACTTAAAAGAGGAAGGGGTCTACCAGGATAGCTCCCTATTCAAAAGATTTCCCTTATCCTTAAGGATATCTACATTTTGGTTTACTAAATCAGTTCAACAAATTAATGATAAAGGCTATAATTCCTTAAACTTAAAGCTTATAAGTTTATAGCTTTAGATTTTAAAAAGACCAATTGTCTATCTCATGCATACATAGAATGGGATGCTTTTGGATCTAAAAAGTTTTTAACTTCATTTCTACAAACATCACTAATCAACAAGGTAATAAAAATTGAGATAGGAAGTAGTGGGCATTTTTTATTTTTAATCCTAACACTAATATTGAAATTCTTTCCTAATGATCACCAGGAGTGAGAGTTCCAATATAGTTTAAGATAACGTTTTCAGTGGTAATTCTAGTTCTTAAAGAAAAACTCTAATCAGATATAAAGCAATCCTATGAAATTCCCCTTTCTTTTCTGACAGGATTGGAATAAAGAAATCACTACCTGCCTTTGAGAAAAAAATAACAAAGTGACAGTTAAGTATTACTATAAACTGAGCAGACACCCAGCTTTTCCTTTTAGAAGATTTATGACTTATTTAAGAAGAAGAATCTCTATGTTAAAAATCAGGAAGAAGATTTTAAAAAGATAATAACCTTCTAGATTTATGGTAACTGCACTGTAATGTCACTTTAAAATAAAAATATGTATTTAAATAAATGCACTTAGTATATAGTTCTTTAAAGAACATTAGTATTTTAATAGCAAGATTAATCAATGACAATGAAACTGTATCTTCCTTAGGAAAAAGAAACTATAAACAATATACAATTAAAGCAATGACCAGAAATCCTACATGATTTTCTGTTATCAAGAAAGTTAACAATTTAATTTTTCACAAAATTAACAATCACTATTACTTCCATACCAAAAGAGGTATAATTTGGGGGTAAATAAATCTATGAGGATTTTGAAATTTTTCCCTATCCATTTCTCATTTTTAAGATGTGATGATTCATGGGTCTAATAAAGATTATAATTTTCAGAAATATACAAAAACTCCATGTTAAATAACAACAGTGGACCTTGAAGGCATGAGCTTTTGTCACTTTATTGTTAACCAATGAATGTTATCCAAAATTATAGATGTAACGGTAACTTAATTGTACAACACAAAATTATGCTAATGGTAAAAGCCTGTTGGAATTTATCAAATACTCATTAATATATTTTACATTGCTATATGAACATGTGCTCTCAACTAATAAGAGTTATAACTGGTTTAATCACTATGAAAACCCATATTGCAAATAGTTGCTCCTGTTTAGAAAAATTCACACAGCTTTAAAAATGGATTATATCCATTTTAATCCTAATCTACAAATAGATTATAAACAGCAAATATAACTGGTAGTTTTTCAACACTGATATCAAACTGATGTAGCAATGGTAGTGCACACAATTCAAAATGTAGAAAATTAATAAAAATCCAATGGCGGTCCAAGTTGTCACTTATTATGGCAATGGCTTTGATGCTTTGGAAAAGTGAACACTTATGCTTTGAAGCATGAAAAGCAGAGTTCACCATCTATTCTTCTAATGTGCTACAAGGAGAAATATTCTCTTCCGCAGTCTTCTGAAGCATGTGCACAACCACCATACAACAGTCACTTCAAGGTTATTAACCAGTTATCTTTTGTCCTACAAAGTCCCAAAAAATATATTAAATGAAACCTTTCCTTTTCATATGTCTGCCCAGATTAATCCTTTTATAGTCAGCAAAATCAAAAAAGCACAAGAGATATTTTCAGACACAACTTGAATCTACTGTGCATGAAAAATGCTTAACAAAATGGCAATTTTAATAGATAAATGTAAATTTGACTGCATAATACCAAATGAAAAGGAGCTGAACCACACAGAGAAAACAAGGCTTTCCTTATCTCCAAGTCTAGATGTTTTACAATGAAGAAAATATTAGAACAGGTGAATATTAGAACATCTTTCAAACTGGAAAGATTTCTTAAGACATAACTGAACTCAATATAACCTAAAATTATAATTTCTAAAATAGGATTAACAAACCAAATTTAAGTATTTTTAGTTAGAGAATGAAAAAAATAAACAATGATTTAGGAACCAAATCTGCTAAAATGACTATGTAACAATTATATCAAGAAATGAAGGTAGAGACGTTCATATGCTACAAGGGCAAATCTCTCTCTCAACACACACACACACACACTCTCTCTCTCTCTCTCCCTCGGACATACAACACCCCTCCAGGAAGATAGTATACCAGCAAGAGCTTACAATTTTAATATAAATCAGAGTCCCACAACTAAGCTCAACAAAAAGGCAGTTAAAAATTTAGCACTCTAAGATATTCTGAAGGAAAAGAAATCTCAGAAATACTCCACTGGGTCGGAACAACCAGTCACCACAGGTGTAGTAGTGAGGTAGTAATACTGTTCCCTCTTTGGGACTCATGTTTTCATATGCTGCCCTTCCAGAAAGGTCCAGGGTTTTCTTTTTAAATGATTACAATAAATTACCAACAAATGATTTTTTTTTAATTAAACATCTGTCTAAATCAGTCTATGAAAGAACGGACTTTTTAATCTTCCAGAGACAATTATTATTTGCAGGTAGTGTTACATCAATAAATTCTCCTCGGCTAACTACTACCTGCTGTCTACACCTTTGTGAACCAAAGGATGACAGGAGATGAAACACCAATCAGTTCAGCTCTCAAAGATGACTGTAATTAAGTAAGCAAATATCAAATATCCAATAATATAATTAAATTGGGACTTAAAAACATTAACCACCAGCTGCATGATACACTGTTAAATATTCTAATCCTTTTCATGATTCATGGCTGTCTTCTACACAATTATCAAAGACTGTCTACCCTGTTGTCTACCCTCATTTTAACCAAGCCAGTGATCTGTATGATAGCAGAATCATGGCTATCAGCACAGCAAGACAGGAGAAGTGCACGCCAAGGAAATATGAGTGAGACAGAATGTGGAAATACACGCAGAATATGGAAGGGGCAAAAGAAAACACAGCACTCTAGCTAAACGCTCATTAAGTCACCATCAACCTTTGACCTGTACAAAGTGCTGAAATCACACATACACATTTGTCAGACATGATCCTTAGTATTAGTCTCCAACAGAAAAAAACAATGGAAACTGAAAATGTGACAGGAGGCGATGGAACGCTGTCCTCCACTCCCTGGCCCCAAAGGAACAGAAAATCAAGCATGACGCCACACTGCCTTAATGCTGAAGCACTCCCCTCAAGGACGTCTTTAGCCACCACAGTCAACTGGTGTCAGGGCTTTGGCAAGGTGGGATGCGTTCCATCACATCTGCAAAGGCCTGCTTTTCTCTGTTGGTGGTTCAGCTTATGCAGAACATGTATGCAAAATAACAGCTCTCACATGGCTTCAAACTCATCAATCCGCTGCTTGGTGTTGCCTTGTCGGATCTGCCGCAGAGTCTTGTACTTATCACGGCCCGCTTTAACATTCTCAGCGTGAAGAACATCATTTTGTGTCTTCTTGGTTTCATCTCTGGCTTGGGCTAATTCTGAACTTAGTGCCTATATTTAAAAATAGAAAAAAATGACTATTATTTTTTTCGCAGACTTTAAAAAGTTTATGAAAAAGGTTTAAAGACAAAAATACACCACAAATCTTACATTTTCGTATATTAAAATTCCCATTGTCGCATCTTTTTCTTTAAAGTGTGTAACTCTGTTTTACTTGTAGTCAAAGTAGAGGCAGTGGTGAGGGAGGAATACCCCCATTGTCTTTTACTTCTACACTCATCAACCATGATGATTTTGTGTATTATTCTACATTTCCTTAATTTTCTCATACAATACTTGAAATGACTTACAAAAAAACGTTCAATGGAGACATTACAGAATGCTATTTTAAGATCTAAAATCTATGCCACAAGAGAAACTTTCTCCAGTCTTAATGTATTTATTAAAACTCTCCCGGGCGCCTGGGTGGCTCAGCTGGTTAAGCGACTGCCTTCGGCTCAGGTCATGATCCTGGAGTCCCGGGATCGAGTCCCGCATCGGGCTCCCTGCTCGGCAGGGAGTCTGCTCTGCTTCTCCCTCTCCCACTCCCCTTTTGTGTTCCCTCTCTCGCTGTGTCTTTCTCTGTCAAATAAATAAATAAAATCTTTAAAAAAAAAAAAACCAAAAAACTCTCCCATCACTTTTTTATTAATATTTGAAGATTTCACCAATTAAAAAATTAGAGAACTTACCTGGAAAAAAGATCTAATAAAGTTAAAATTTCCTATTTTGATCTAATTATGTGCTTTTAATAAACTGACCTTTTGCCATTATAAAATGTGAACAAATAATTCAGATTAAGTAATGTCATACAGGAAATCTATCGTTTTAAATGTAGACTTCACTAGTTAAAAACTAAATTTGTCTTTTAAAGATAACATTAAAATACTTCCTACCTTTTAATGTTGAGTCAAGCTATAATTAAAGATTAACTTACCACTTAAGGCTTAATCGCGGAAAGCTAACAAACATTTGCTACAATGGAAGAAATGAAACAAGGTGGCTGTAGGCCAAGCACTCACAAACCAACCACAAGGCCAGCTACTGGTAAAGGCTTAAAAAAAAAAAAAAATCAAATGTTCTTCTATAAAGAACTTCTCGGGGTGCCTGGGTGGCTCAGTCGTTAAGCGTCTGCCTTCTGCTCAGGTCATGATCCCAGGGTCCTGGGATCGAGTCCCACATCGGGCTCCCTGCTCGGCGGGAAGCCTGCTTCTCCCTCTCCCACTCCCCCTGCTTGTGTTCCCTCTCTGTCTGTCAAATAAATAATAAAATCTTAAAAAAAAAAAAAAAAAAAAGACCTTCTCATACTCAATACCCAAAAAACAAATAATCCAGTCAATAAATGGGCAGAAGACATGAACAGACACTTCTCCAAAGAAGACATACAAATGACTAACAGACACATGAAAAAATGTTCACCACCACTAGCCATCAGGGAAATACAAATCAAAACCACAATGAGATACCTAACCTTACACCAGTTAGAATGGCAAAAATTAATAAGACAGGTAACAACAAATGTTGGTGAGGATGCAGAGAAAGGGGAACCCTCTTACACTGTTGGTGGGAATGCAAACTGGTGCAGCCACTCTGGAAAACGGTATGGAGGTTCCTCCGGATGTTAAAAATAGAGCTATCCTACGACCCAGCAATTGTACTACTTTACCCCAAAGATACAAATGTAGTGAAAAGAAGGGGCACCTGCACCCCAATGTTCATAGCAGCAATGTCCACAACAACCAAACTGTGGAAAGAGCTGAGATGTCCTTCAACAGATGAATGGATAAAGAAGATGTGGTCCATATATACAATGGAATATTACTCAGTCATCAGAAAGGATGAATACCCACCATTTGCACTGACATGGATGGAACTGGAGGGGATTATGCTAAGTGAAATAAGTCAAGCAGAGAAAGACAATTATCATATGGTTTCACTCATATGTGGAACGTAAGGAATAGTGCAGAGAACCACAGGGGAAGGGAGGGAAAATTGAATGGGAAGAAATCAGAGAGGGAGACAAACCATGAGAGACTCTGGACTCCAGGAAACAAACTGAGGGTTGCTAAAGGGAGGGGGATGGGGGGATGGAGTAACTGGGTGATGGGTATTGAGGAGGGCACGTGATGTGATAAGCATTGGGTGTTACACGCAACTGATGAATTGCTGAACACTACATCAAAAACTAATGATGTACTAATTGAACATAATATATCTATAAATATACATATATATATATAAATACAAAAAATCAAATGTTCTTTTTAATAAGTTTGTCTTAATAAATGGGGGAAATGCTAACTGTATTATAAATGTGCACACAACTGCAAATTTTAAATACCTGGAGTTGCTTCTTAACACGCTCATTTTTTTGAGTTTCTGTTACACGTTCCTCTTCACTTCGGTGGTTCATCACCCCATCATTTGATAATTCAGCGCTAGCTTCAGCATTATTCTCATCATGCTCATCGTGTTCATTTTCTGTTGGAGGAACGACTGGTGGTGGTGGAGGTGGAGGGGGGGCAGACATCACAGTTTTTAGTTCTTCTTTAGTCTTTTCCAAATCTTCCTGGGCTGCAAAAGCCTGAACATTAAAAATAAGTTTATCAGCAACTTCCTTTGAAAATTGGTAATTAAAAGAATCAAGTTATCCTTCCTTCCCAAAAGAAACTGTATTTCAGGGTAATGAAAACAAGCCTTACTGATGAAAGCTCTGTTTTTATAAGGAATGCCAGCAAGTAGGAGTGGAAGAATTAAAATACATCACTTTGCAAAACCTAATAAAATTGTTAATTCTGGCAAGAATGATCAAATATTGCTAAAATTGTTATACAAATGGGTTGATGAGAAATGATATTAGTAAAATGCCAAAGAATGCCACATCTAAGAGATCACATTTTAGCCACAAGGGGGAGCATGTCACTAGTCAATGGAGGAATCAGACCATCATTACTCTAATCCAGTGATCAATTAAAATCACTAATGGTCAAACAGAGAAAGACATGTATCATATGATCTCACTGATATGAGGAATTCTTAATTGCAGGAAACAAACTGAGTGTTGTTGGAGTGGGGGGTGGGGTGGGAGGGATGGGGGGACTGGGTGATAGACACTGGGGAGTGTATGTGCTCTGGTAAGCGCTGTGAATTGTGCAAGACTGTTGAATCTCAGATCTGTACCTCTGAAACAAATAATGCAATATATGTTAAGAAAAAAAAAAAAAGAAGAAGAAGGTAGCGGGAGGGGAAGAATGAAGCGGGGGAAATCGGAGGGGTAGACGAACCATGAGAGACGATGGACTCTGAAAAACAAACAGGGTTCTAGAGGGGAGGGGGGTGGGAGGATGGGTTAGCCTGGTGGTGGGTATTTAGGAGGGCACATTCTGCATGGAGCACTGGGTGTTGTGCACAAACAATGAATCATGGAACACTTCATCTAAAACTAATGTTGTAATGTAAGGGGATTAACATAAGAATAAAAAAATTAAAAAAAAAAAAAATAAAATCACTAATGGTAGGTTAACCAGATAGTAAATGTTTTCTGAGATGATACAACAGGAAGTATCCAACATTACCAACTGCTCGGGTGCTATATTGTGTTCGTTTGCCTAGAAAAGTCCTGCTTTACAATGTTGCCCTGGTATAATTATTAATAATACCTTTCACTCTAAAATATATTCTAGCCCTTTATCTGATATGTCATTTGCAAATATCTTCTCCCATTCTGTCGCTTGTCTTTTGGTTTCGTTGACTGTTTCTTTTGCTGTGCAAAAGCTTTTTATCTTGATGAAGTCCCAATAGTTCATTTTTGCCCTTGCTTCCCTTGCCTTTGGAGATGTTTCTAGGAAGAAGCTGCTGCGGCTGAGGTCGAAGAGGTTGCTGCCTGTGTTCTCCTTTAGGATTTTGATGGACTCCTGTCTCACATTTAGGTCTTTCAACCATTTCAGTCTATTTTTGTGTGGGGCTAGTATCCAAAATCTATAAAGAACTTATCAAACTCAACACCCAAAGAACAAATGATCCAATCAAGAAATGGGCAGAAGACATAAACAGACATTTTTCCAAAGACATCCAAATGGCCAACAGACACATGAAAAATTGCTCAACATCGCTCGGCATCACGGAAATCCAAATCAAAACCTCAATGAGAGACCACCTCACACCAGTCAGAATGGCTAAAAATAACAAGTCAGGAAACGACAGATGTTGGCGGGGATGTGGAGAAAGGGGAACCCTCCTACACTGTTGGTGGGAATGCAAGCTGGTGCGACCACTCTAGAAAGCAGTATGGAGGTTCCTCAAAAAGTTGAAAATAGAGCTACCCTACGAACCAGCAATTTGCACTACTGGGTATTTACCCCAAAGATACAAATGTAGTGATCCGAAGGGGTACGTGCACCCCGATGTTTATAGCAGCAATGTTCACAATAGCCAAACTATGGAAAGAGCCAAGATGTCCACTGACAGATGAATGGATAAAGACGATGTGGTGAGGGGGCGCCTGGGTGGCTCCGTCGTTAAGCGTCTGCCTTTGGCTCAGGTCATGATCCCAAGGGTCCTGGGATCGAGCCCCGCACTGGGCTCCTTGCTCAGTGGGAAGCCTGCTTCTCCCTCTCCCACTCCCCCTGCTGTGTTCCCTCTCTCTCGCTGTGTCTCTGTCAAATAAATAAAATCTTTAAAAAAAAAAAAAAAAGAAGTAAATAAAAGAAGATGTGTCTCTCTCTCTCTCTCTCTCTCTCTCTCTCTCTCACACACACACACACACACACACACACACACACACACAGGAATATTATGCAGCCATCAAAAGGAATGAAATCTTGCCATTTGCAATGATGTGAATGGAACTGGAGGGTATTATGCTGAGCGAAATAAGTCAATCAGAGAAAGACATGTATCATATGATCTCACTGATATGAGGAATTCTTAATCTCAGGAAACAAACTGAGGGTTGCTGGAGTGGTGGGGGGTGGGAGTGGTGGGGGGTGGGAGGGATGGGGTGGCTGGGTGATAAGACATTGGGAAGGGTACGTGCTTTGGTGAGCGCTGTGAATTGTGTAGGACTGTTGAATCACAGACCTTTACCTCTGAAACAAATAATACATTATATGTTAAAAAAAAAAGAAGACAGTAAGAAGGGAAAAACGAAGGGGGGGAAATCGGAGGGGGAGATGAACCATGAGAGACTGTGGACTCTGAGAAACAAACTGAGGGTTCTAGACGGGAGGGGGGTGGGGGGATGGGTTAGCCTGGTGATGGGCATTAAAGAGGGCTCGTATTGAATGGAGCACTGGGTGTTACACGCACACAATGAATCATGGAACACTACATCAAAAGCTAATGATGTAATGTATGGTGATTAACATAATAAAATTAAAAAAAATAAAATGGTAAAAAATATATATATATTCTAATTTGGGTGATAAATTATATGGTGGTCTCACCTATGAGGCATCACAGCCAAAAACTTTTTAACTTGAATCCTTCAAGTTTTTATTTTATTATTATTTTTAATTTTTTAAAGATTTTATTTATTTATTTGACAGAGAGGAAGAGAGAGAGCACAAGCAGAGGGAGCTGCAGGCAGAGGGAGAGGGAGAAGCAGGCTCCCTGCTCAGCAGGGAGCCCCACGCGGAGCTCGATCCCAGGACTCTGGGATCATGACCTGAGCCGAAGGCAGACGCTTAACCGATTGAGCCACCCAGGTGCCCCGACTCCTTCAAGTTTTTAGGTCTATTTTCCAGTTTACAGGAAATATTGTTAAAGGACAAGCTGAATAACACCATGAGGAAGCAACCAGACAAAGGAGAAGGGACAATCTCCAGGTCCTTCCAATAATTCAGTATCATAAAAAGACCTGTCCTACTTTAAAAGAGACTTAGAGCAAACATATGCAATGCAAAGTCCAAAGGACACTGGCCTGACAAATTAGCTATAAAAGATTTGGGGTCAATTTTGAATACATTCTGCCCAGGAATAAATCACACAAATATAATCAATTAATTTACAATGAAGCAGCCAAGAATATGCAATGGGGAAAGGACAGTCCCTTCAATAACTGGGTGTTGGGAAAACTGGACAGCCATATACATAAGAATGAAAACTAGACCACTATCTTACACCATACAAAATTATCAACCCAAAATGATCACAGATTTGAACCTAAGACCTAAAATCATACTCCTAAAAGAAAACATACAGAGCAAGCTACCTGACATTGGTCTTGGCAATGATTTTTTGGATTTGACACCAAAAGTAAAGTTAAAAAGCAAAAATAAGTGGGACTACATCAAACTAAAAAGCTTCTGCACAGCAAAGGAAACCACCAAAAATAAGAAAAGTCAACCTACTGAATGGGAGAAAATATTTACAAATCATACATCCAAATATATAAGGAACTCATATAACTTAACAGTTAAAAAACAATCTGATTAAAAAATGGGCGGAGGATCTGAATGGATATTTTTCCATAGAAGATATACAGATGGCCAACAGGTACATGAAACAGGTGCTCAACATCACTAATCAACATGGAAATGTAAATCAAAACCACAATGAGCTACCACCTCAAAATGGCTCAAAATGGCTATTATCAAAAAGATAAGAAATAGCAAGCGTTGTCAAGGTTATGGAGAAAAGGGAACCTGCGTCCACTATTACTGAGTATGTAAATTGGTGCAACCACTATGGAAAACACTACAGAGGTTCTTCAAAAAATTAAAAATAGAACTACCATTATTACCTAGCAATTCCACTTCTAGGTATTTATCCCCCAAAAATGAAAACATAACTTAAAAAGATACATACAATCATGTTTCACTGCAGCCTTCTTTACAATAGCCAAGATACAAAGTAACCTAAGCATCCATCGATGAATGAATGGGTCAAGAAAGTGTGGTGTACACATACACATGAATATTATTCAGCCATAAAAAAGAAAATCTTGCTATCTGTGTCTACATAGATGGAACTTGACGGTATTATGCAAAGTGAAATAAATCAGAGACAAATACCATATGTTTATATGTAAATGTAAAAAAATTAAAGAGAGCTCATGGATACAGACAACAAATTCCTTGTTATCAGAAGTGGGGGATGGCAGGGAGGGTGGGGAGTGGGCAAATGGGAGAAGGGCTTAAAAAGTACCAACTCCCAGGGCGCCTGGATGGCTCAGTCGGTTAAGTGTCTGACTTCGGCTCAAGTCATGATCTCGTGGTCCTAGGATCAAGCCCCATGTTGCGCTCCGCACACAATGGGGAGTCGGCTAGAGATTCTCTACCCTTCCCCCACTCGTGCTTGCTCTCTATCTCAAATAAATAAATAAAATCTAAAAAAAAAAAAAAAGGTACAAACTCCCAGTTGTAAGATAAATAAGTCATGGGGATGTAATGTACAAATAGCATGGAGACTACAGTTAATAATAGTGCATAGTATACTTGAAAGTTGAAAGCTGCTAAGAGAGTAAATCTTAAAAGTCTTCATGACAAGAAAAAAAATTTGTCATTATATTTGGTGATGGGTGTTAACTCATTTCACAATATATACAAGTATCAAACAATGAAGTCATTCACCTGAAATTAATGT